GGTCCCCTTCTCCAGAGGCTGGGGGTTCTGGGCCTTCTCCAGAAGGAAGCCCACTGAGGTCCCCTTCTCCAGAAGCAGAACCTTCTAGGTCCTTGTCTCCAGAGGGCAGTCTGCTGACAATGGGAGTGCTGGACCACTTAACTCTGTCTCCATCCCCGGAGGCCAGTCCACTTCCCACTGGCAGGCCTGAGCCCGCGGCAGAGGGGAGACCGCTGGCGTCAAGGCCCTCGGAGGGCAGTCCACTCCCACTCCCCCCTGAGGGCTGCCCACTGGCTTCCAGGTCACTGCTGACTTCGGGCGCCCCAGTGGACTCCCCAAATCCTGGCAGTTCAGTCCCACTGGGCACCAGGGGTGAATACGTGGCTGGCTCCTCTGGCGGGGTCGGCTCTTCGGAGGTCAAGGGCGCTACTGTGGCAGAAGATGCTTCTGTGCTGCCCTCTGCGCCCGGGGCTGGCCACGTGGGAGGGAGTCCTGCAGGAGGGACAGCAGGTGCCCGTTTAGAAGCTCAGCCCACCTCAAGTTCTCACAGGGGAGCTGAACTCCATGCCTGGCACGGGAGCACGTCTCTCTCAGGGCAGAGAGGCCCAGACAGTGTCTCCTGGACCCTCGTGGCCTGCGAGGGGCGCATGGAGGCAGCGTGCGGGGGGCGGTGTGTGTGGGGAACGGAGACTCCCACTACGCTCAGGCTGTGCTCTGGGAGACTCAGGGCCACGGCCGCACAGCCACGGCCACCTGCTGTGTCCTCCGTGGAGGCCGTGGACTCGAGGCGGGTCCCGGGGCCAGTATCAGCTGCGAGCTGGACAGAAAAGCGGAGTCCCAGCCCCCAGCAGCCCTGAGAACAGGAACTCGGCTGGGCTCGGCCGCCCAGGGCGGAGGCGCTGTCCGCCTGGACCTCAGCTCTCCGTCCGAGTGCTCTGGGCAGAGGGTTTGGAGGACGGAGGAGAAAGCAAACCTCCCACTTGAGGTTCTTGAGACCCCATTACTTTCTTTCCCTCTTGCTCCCGTGAGACTATGTCCTGGGGAGATGGGAGCTGCCCAGAGTCCACGCCACACCAACCTGGCAGTGGGGTGTAGGCCAGCTCCCACTCCGTCTGGTTTTCTGGCTCAGGGGAGAAGTCCAGGGGGGCAGTCGTCTCCTCCCCGGGGGGCAGCACAGCCACGCCAGGCGCCACGTGGGTGACAATCCGGTCCTCCACGTTGGGGGGCGGTGCGGGGGTGCCACCCTCTTCTTCTCCCGGAGAGGGCACGCCGGAGACGCCTGAGGGGAGAGGGCGGTGAGCGGGCGAGGCTGTCTCCTCCGCACTGGCCAGCCCGCTGGCCCTTCCTCGGGGACGTGCGGTGGCTGTGAGGTGGGCCAGCCCGTGCGGGGACTGCCGGGCCACCCTCCCGCCCCCACGTTCGGGCCGGGCAGCCACTGCAGACTGCGCTGGCCTCCCAGGCTCTGTGGCGGGTGTGCCGAGGCCACGCTGCCTCGCGAGCCTTGTGGGGCGGCAGCTGCTAGCTCGCTGACCGACGGCGCGGCCGCGGCTGGCCAGTGCGGGCCTCGTCTTTGGCTCAGTTATCGGGCGCCAGGCCCCAGGCGACCAGCTCGCCCTACGGCCACAGAAATGGTGTTCCCGGGGGCGTCCAGGAGGCCGCCCAAGCCACCTGCCCTGGCGGGGGCGGGGGAGGGTGACGGCAAGATTCACTGAGTGGGGTAACCCTTCCAGTTTAGGGGAACCAGCAAAGTGGGGGGAGGAAGCCCAGCTCCCCCCATTATGCAGGGGCTGAGCTCACCCGGCCAGGGCTGGGGTCCTGGGGCTCGGGGGCTTGGCGTCCTCCCTGCCCGAGCTGGAGGCCGGGTCGGGGCAGGAGCCCCACCACCCGCGGGGCAGGCCGGAGCCGGGGAGCGGGCCGGGGTGCTCTTCAGCAGGGCTTTCGGAGGGGACCTGCTTTCTGGGAGCCCAGGGCTCTCTGAGCTTTATTTGGAGGGCTCCAGGACACTCGGGTATTTAGCCCGTGAAACAGAGCACGAGTTGGGTCCAGCGCAGGACCCAGAGCCGTGAGGACCCGCCCGGCGCTCAGTGACACCCCAGCCACGCCCGCCGGGCCCCGGGTCCATTAACGACACAAATAGGGGGTGTCCAGTGAATCTGGAATACTCCAGATTCCCTCCGAAATATTTAGAAGTGGGGTGAGTCTGACACACCTCTTAAAGCAGTATGTATAAGCCCGTGCCGTTTATGTGTAACAATGAAACTGACGATAATTTGCTCTGTCCCAGGCTCTGTGCTGAGTGCTGTCCAAGTTAGGGTCAGTAGGGAACAGAGAGGTTGAGCCACTAGCCCAGAGTCACACAGCTACCACACAGCGGCGCTCACATCAGCTCTGCCTGATTTTAGAGCCAAAATCCGTACTCCCCTCCACTTGCCTCTGAGAAACCTCAGGATGACCTTGCCTTGGGGCCAAGGCTTCAAGGTCAAGCTAGCTCAAGAGCTGCCCCCGAGGCACAGACGTCTCCCCCTTGCCCTGATGGGTGTGGGTATGGGGGGCCAGCGGCTCACCCCTTCCCCCAGGCAGAGGGGCGGGAGAGGGGCGGGGACACGTACCTCGGAAGCAGAAGGCGTGGTGGCGGGACAGGGGGTCCGGGAGGCCTGTCTGGTTGGGGTAGAGGTAGACGGTTCTCACCCCCGGCTTGTCCCCGCCGCAGGCGGGTCTCGGGGTGACGATGGGGTAGCGGATGGTGCCGTCCGCCAGCCAGCCGGCGAAGCACTTGTCCAGGCCTCGGCTCCAGGCGGCATAGAGCTGGCCCGTGGAGGCGAGCGTGGCGTTGTGAGCCGCACAGAACTGCAGCGCCTCCTGGAAGGTGAACTGCTCCGGGCGGGTGGCGAAGAACACCTCCCCTGGGGCACAGCGGGCAGCGGGTGACCCCTGTGCCCACCCAGCCTGTCCCCCGACACGGGGCCCCAGCCCCTGCTGCTCCCCAGCACGGCTGCACTTTCCAGGAGCGCGCAGCCCCCAGCCCGCAGCCCTCTGGGGAGGGGTGGGCTCCTGCACCCAGAAACGCCCGGGAGCCGTCTGGCTGGGGGCGGGAAACAGCAGTCACAGGGACGGAACTGCTCCATTCACAGAGGGGGAAGCTGAGGCCCCGCGAGGCCAGCGTGAGGTCACCGCACCAGCGTCTCCAACCCGGGGCTCGGGGTGGGAACTTGGTGGCTTTAACTGACGCGACACCGAGTCGGGCCGTGGTGGGCAGCCCCGTGCTCCGTCACACGGCAGGAGGACTCCGGCGCCGGCTGGCCCCGGCCGACTCTCCAGCAGGGGAGAGCAGGCTCAGCCGCGCGGAGTGAAGGCCCTGGCCAGCCACGGGGCTCACTGCTTTAAGGAGCCCAAGGGCCCCGCTGCTCCGGGGCCGGGGGGCACAAGGGCGCCCCGAGAGGGGCTGGGGGCCGGCTCCTCCCCGGCTGCTCCCTGGGCAGCGCGGGCAGGAGGGCGTGGGTGAAGGCCTGCCCTCTGCCGCCCCGGCCCCGGCCCCGAGGTCCGTACCCTCCAGCCTGTCCACGTAGCAGTAGACGTCGTAGGTTTCTGACGGCGGACGCACGCCGTAGGTCCTGACCCCGGGGCTGCTGTCCTTGTCGCCCACGCACGCAGTCCGCGGGCTCACGATGGGGTATCTGCGGGGATGCGCAGAGGGGCTGAGAGCCTGCTGGGGGGGGCTGGGGTGCAGGACCCCGGGGGCCGGCAGGACCCTCAGGGGCTTGGGCAGGGCAGGACTTCAGGGTCTGGGGTTCAAACCAGGAGGGACCCCTCGTGCAGAGGCTGGCAGCTGGGGGCGGGGGGGGCTGCGGGGTCCTGGCTTCCGAACACAGCCCACCGCTCGGAAGGGAACTGAGGCCCCTGAAGGGCCCGGGGCTGAGCGGGCTTCCTCCCCCATGTCTTGGAGGAAATGACCAATGCCGCCCGGTCCTGCGCCCCTCTCGGAACGGGGCCCCTTCCGGGGGATGAAGGAGCAGGCCCCGAGTCGCTAATGACCGCGAGCCCCGGCCCACCCGAGGCGGCGCACAGGCCCTCGCTCCGCCGACCCGTCCTCCGGGCTCACCTGACGGTCTGGTCGGCCAGCCAGCCGGCGTCACACTGCTCGTAGCCGGCCTCGTAGGCGGCCTGCAGCTGCTCGGGCGAGGCCATGAGCGCCCCGGTGCGCAGACAGGCCTGCCGGGCCTCCGCGAAGGTCAGCGAGTAGCGGGTGGGGCCCGGGCGGTAGTGGAACACGACCCCTGGGGGGAGGCGAGGAGAGAAGGGGGGGCTCAGGGGACCCAGGCCGGGTGTCGGCTGGCCCGGGGCCCCCGAGCTCGC